CTTTTTGAAGAAGATGGAAGTCAAATGAAAGCCTGAAATCTGTGGGTTTGTTCACTTAAAATGTGATAAAATCAGAAAGTGCCGTTCTCCTGTTTTTATTCTCTCAGCACATCAAAAGTTTGAACTTTTCGAACTAACTTTTTCAATCAGCCCTTGAACTGTGGGGCTCTTGAAAAGAGATGAAATTTTGTTATGCCTTTGACAGTGTCTGTTATCTTAAGAGAGTAGGGTTAAAACCTGAGATTGGAGAAATGTCTTTTCTAACAGTTTTGAAATGCTTAAGCCTGAGGATGCTGCCTGTTACTTCATTGTAGTTTAGGCTGCAGCTATCTCTAGTTTTGAGGACAATCTTGGGATCTTATGTGGGGTTTTGTGTAGAATTATTGATTCTTTAAATAGTATGAACATTCAGTTTAAAAAAACAACACGGAAGGCTCTCTGAACTCAATGTCATACAAGTTTTCTTTTGTTTCACAAAAATCAGGAGCTGTCTTTAAAAGCTTCTTAATGAACAGCAGCTTTAAAGGGCTAAATAGATCTTATTGTCCAGTTTGCCTAAATGACTGACAGAAGGAACTCTTTTCATTTTCAGAGCAGAAATGCTAAGGGCTAAAATGCTTTCCAGGGCTCATTTGAGGTTCCAGAGACATACAATGTCTAAAAAACAACTAGTCCATTTTCATTTCAACTCATGGACTCTAAAATATTTTTTACAAATGTCTGAACCAATTGCATATGTAAGTGTTCCTATATAGCTTGGATTTTCAGTGTCCAGATGGGATAAGAGCACACTAGAGAAGGCAGTACACTTACCCTCCACTTTATTATTGCCTTTGCTGAAATCTAACAACTTTTATGAACAGCACTGGTAATAGAGAAGCTTTGAGAAAGATTCTGCCCTGGGAAATTGTCACAGAATATTTATTTGCAACTTAGTTGAACTTTACTTTAGTGATGTCTACCAAGGCATAAACTTCTCAGAAGTTCAGTGAGATACTGCTGCAAATATAGCTTTCTGGAGGCTATCTGGAAAGATATTTCACAATATCTTCAGGATATTGTATCTTAATAAGTACTAAAACAAGAGAAACTTTTTTTAAAGTCATTTTGCTGCTTCGTAGGAGAGTGGAAAGGGAAGAGGTTCTGTGACAGAGCTCTCCTTGCCTTAGAAAGCTGAGCCTAAATTTTGACCCAAGACCTGTTGTGATTTTGAAGCCTCGTCAGCTGAAATGAGTAAAGAGTAAGAGTAAATGTATTTATTATGTACATGATTCTTGCTACTTTTTAAGATTCTCCAAAAGCTTATGCACAACTTTACTCACATTAACTTGGCTCATGTGTACTTGCTAGAACGAAGCAAGTGCCAAGGCCCTCTTAAAAGGAATGTTACCAACCTCTCTACTGGAACTAGATCACCAGACTAAAGCAGTATCAAATGGCAGCTTTTTCCACCTGCTTCTGCCCTTATCCTTACCTCAACCTAGCTGTGAGAAATCAACTTCCTATGCACTCTTTAGGATCACCTACCCAATTCAACAAATTTTTTCTTTTTAACCTTTTCCTCCAAATCACTGGTCTCAAAATTAGTTGGGCATCAGCTGTTTGTGCTTATACACAAGTGGCCATACTTGCAACATGTTATTTCCTGGATAGTGGATTAGCAATAACACTTTGGTTTGTGCCAATTCATTATCTCTGAAGTGTTCTTACTGCAGCAAAATTTGAGTTATGATTTGGTTTTAATGCATTTGCATTAACCAAAACTCATAGCACAGACACAGACAAGAAACTGAAGAGACTGAAATTTCCAGGGAAATTTCCCTGGAAAAAAATCTGCTAGGGCTTCCCAAATGATTTGAAGTTGCTTACAGTTAACCATCACTTTCAAAACAAACAAATGAAATGTGTATGGGTATTTTTTTAACTTCCTTTTCATAACACTAGTGTATTGTAAATTGCATGAAATAAACCTGGTTTTTCCCTTTTAAAGTGTGATGTCTTACATCTGTCTTTTCTAAATGCACTAATTGATATTAATAGTGTCATATCCTAGTTTAGCACTTGAGATGTAAAATGCAGTTGCACATTTGTGCAGTGATTCAAAGCATTAATGCTTTATTCTCTGTAAAAGAGAAGTATCCTTTACTGCTGCCCCAAAGACTTCATCACGAAAAAGTTAGGTCTATTCAGATATATATCAGTTGGGAAATTATTTTCCTTTGCAGTTGCTGTGACATGCTGGTTATTGTAGGAGAAATAGTTGTCTCTTTTATGGATATATAATCACATGAAAAAGTTTTAACTAATCACTTTGCTTATGTTTTCTTTTGCACAACTCAAAAACCACCCTGCCTAACAGCAAAGATTCTAGAATCCACTACTTTGCTTTTTAATATAAGTGCTTCCTTTGTTTGAAAAACTAAGCTATTGGAAATTGATGCTTTGTAATAAGGCAAACATATAATAAGTTTCAAGGATATAAATGGCTTAAGGAAGTAAATTATTTGAGTACTAAGTACAGGTTGTTGAAATTATCCAGGCAATTTGACAGCTGTGTCCTCTACAACTATAGAAAAGTTTATAATCGAGTATTAGTATTGAGAAGACCACTGGACAGCTCTTAGTTTCCAAACTGCTAGTAAGAACTTGAGAAGCTAAGACCCATGATTTTTAAATTCCTAAGCCTCTTAGTTACATGTGAAGCAAATTTCATCTTAACAGTTTAGTCAGTTTTAAGTGCAAAGCACATTCTGTTATTTCCTTGTATATCCAGCAGCATCAGTAAAATTGTAATTTTACTAAACTGTTTTGCTGCATTTAATTGCATTTGAATTTTACTAAAATAAGTGCTAAGAACAAACACTGCTGTAGTAATCAAGTATAGCAATTACAGTAATTAAGTAATCAGTGTGTGCACCTGTATTTTCATCAGACTGTCCTACTAAAAATATTGGTATTTTAGAGCCAGCCAGCATGACTTTCAATCTAAATTCATATTCTACATATCTGTTGCTGTGTTTTCACCATTTAGGAAAAAATGAGAGCACAAAAGAGACAAGTGTCTACCCTGAACTAGAAACCAGGTTATAAAGGGGACATAAACAACTTAGTCATTAGCAACCTGTTTTGATCTTTTGTAACATCTAGGGTTCATTTTGGCACTAGTTTTCCTTTCAGTGAGAAGTTTCACTTCAGAAAGATGAAAATGATCCTGCAAATTCACCTTTTTGGGTGCTGCTCATCTTTCAGTGTGCTGAACTCTTGCCTCGTAGTCATACACACATGTATGTGACATTCTCAGAGACTGTAATGTGTACAATTTCGTGAGAGATCCTGCAAGCCAGGTGGTGAGTTTCCACTGCTATTCATGTCACTGTGTGGAAAGTTACACAGGGGAGTATGTATTTATCCTGGTCTACGGTGGGCATTTGCTCCTGGTGAAAGCTACTCTTAAGTAGAGTGATCTTCAGCATATATTTTGATGAGGGCTGATTGGAATCCAAGTGATTATTTATTGAAATAATAAATTCTAGACTTCTGAAGAAACCATTTTGAGCATTAATACCACACAGAACATCTTTCAAGTAACATTGATACAGACTAGCACAAGGCAGCGATTTCAGGACTAAAAATTCCTCTGTTTCATTAAGAAAGACAAGTTCAAGATGGGAATAGAATGTGATTCATACTCCACTTGACATTAAAAATGTGTTCTTAGAAACCCAAACAACATCCCTCCCCCTCGTCCCCCGCCAAGGAAACCAAACCAACAAAGCAGCGGGAAACAAAACCCAGGTCAGAAATCCCGTAAAGGTCAGCGAAAGCAGCGCGGGCCGGAGGCGAAGGAAGCCCGCCCCCGAGCCGGCTGCGATAGGCCGCCCCCCCGGGCCGGAGGCGAACGCAGCCCGCCCCCGGGCCGCCTGCCGGCTCCGATAGGCCGCCGGGCCCGGCCGCCGCCGCGGGAGCCGCGGCCCCGCCCCCGCGGGCTCGGCCGGGCAGGGGCGGGGCTCGGCCCGGCTGGAGCGCGCCCGCAGACCCGAGCGCGCCGGCTGCACGCCAGGCCTTCGGAAGCGGCAGGCGGCTCCCGGAGCGCCAGAGGTAAAGGTTGATTCGGCTCGCGGCCGGAGCGGGGCAGCGGGAGGCACGGGAGGTGCTCGGCTTCGGTGTAGCCCCGCGGTGGGGTTTCTGGTGCCCAATACTCAGGCATTGCTGGGGGCACCTCTGGGTCCTGTGTCGTGAGGATGCGCAAAGCGTGACGATAGGATCACAGACGGATCGGGCCGAGGGACATAATAGCGTTTTCGCGCTCCTCAGCGAGAGGGAGGGAAACTCCGGAGTGGAGACAAAGCGGCGGGAGCGGGAACATCCGGGTCACTTACGCGGCCTCGATCCGGGACACGCGCGGCGGCGGCGGCTCTCGGTGAGGCCCGCCCGGGAGTGAGGCCGCGGCGGCCTCGGTGTCGGGGAGTGGAGCGGGGCCGGGCGGGCGCCCCCCGCCTGCGGCGGGACGGGACGGGAGCGCCGGATGGGCGTGCGGGCCTGGCGACTGCTGCCTTGTGGCCGGGCCGGCCGGCGCGGCGCTGCCCGCCGAAGGTTCCGAGCACCTCGCAGCTCTCGGCGGTGGCGGGCGGAGGTCGCCGAGCGGGGCGTGGAACCGCTCGGCCTGCGCGATCCGTCCCGCCCCGCCGGGTGTCTGCCTGGGAGCGGCGGGCTGGACCGCGGTGCCCCGTGCAGGCCTCGGGCGCTGCCCCGGCCCCTCGCGGGGCCGACGGGACCGGCGGCCCTCGGCGGTGGCGGGCGGGCCTCGGCCCTGTCCGCTCACTTGGCCGTCGAACACTGAGCCCATCGCCGCGCGGCATCTTCTGTTGTTTAATGTGCGACTCCGGTCGCCGCTCGGCCTCTTCTACCTTTCTTGCCGCAAGCAGAGGAGACTTTCCATCCTAGTCCAGAGTTAGCGTGCTTTGACTAAAGCTTAGACCGTGGCTCTTTCCACCGTTCTGAAAAATAAAGTTGGCATAGTTCGGGGCAAACTATTTCGATAATAATGACTTTCTATGTCAGTATTTAACCTGCAAAGTAAAAATGTGAGGCTAGCAATCTTAACGTTTTGGGGACTTTTTCCTTGCTGCTTGGAATCAATAAGTCGTACTGAAAGTTCTTGAACCTCAAAGAGCATATTGTTGATGTATTTGGAGAGTTGTTTGTGGCACAGGAACGATTCCTTGCGAGATGTGCGTTTTGTGTGTGAAAGTAGGTTATTCCACCCCATCGGAGGGTGTAAATGCATAAGATATTCTGTAATGGGACACAAAAATTTGCATCTATGATAAGCGTGATGCTTTTATTTTGTCCTTTTTTTAAAATAGGCAGTAGCAGCAGCAAAGGCAAGCTATTGAGTAAATTTGGAAGTTTCTGTTAACTTTCTGAGTTGATGGTAGTAAAAGGGACATTACTATTTCTTAATGGCAGGGGTGAATTTGGGGGATTCAACTCAAAACGTGAAGACTGGTCTCTTTGACTTTCGTGGCATGTGCCACAAAATAGGATTGAATAGACTTCCTCTGGTGTAAAATCCTTTCTGCTAATGTAGTACATAAATAGATTGGGATATAGAGAGTTTATATTGCCAGTTAGCTTTTGAGGGGATGCTTAACTAATGGGATCTTAGTTTGTGAAATGAGCTTTCAGTCTTGTTTAATCTTTATTTTCTATTAGGCTGATGAGGTTTTAGCTGCTCATCGATGTAACTGAAGTCTGTGGAAACCATATATGTGAAGCTTGTTGTCTTGTCATACATGCTGAAATGTTTCAGTGCTTAACTAAGTCTAATGCCTCAAGATTTGGAAAGATATTTGTAGACCATTAGAAAAACCTTTATTGTACTAGGGCACAGTATAGTGTGTAAGAAAAGCAAGTAGGATGCATGGCCTGAAAACTCGGGATTTTTTTTTTTTTTTTTCAATTACTCGAAAAGTTACTGGGTTACTGATGTTCTGCAGAAGATCCACTGCTTATTTACCCAGTGAGAAACTGGCATTTCCCTTGAGGTTCATGTTGTAATTAATTGGCTGTTAGCCACAGGAAATGGAATAAATATTTGAAAGCATCCTGTAATGTGTCTTTTGGCAGAAAAGGTAGCTGAGTTTGGTGAACTATGTGGGAATATTTGGATGGTTTATAAGGAAATATGGTTTTCTTGGCCGGTGATGGGAAAGTTAGTATTAGTACAGTGGACTACCAGGTACCAAAAGCACAGCTGAAATTCTGCTATATATTCAGTTCATTTACATCTCTTACAACATATTAAAACTTGCTCATGACATAGTAAAACTTGCTGCCTGTATAATTTGGTTAAGGGAGAGGGTTTTTTGTTGTCTTTGGTTTCTTGGGGCTTTTTTCAGTTCTACTGGTATTTTTTTCAATGGCTCTGTATCTTCAGCTTGTGAGTAGACTAAAATCTGAAGTCATGTGTACACATTCCCTAAGTCCTGCAAGTCTTCTGCCATAATTAATACAGAGGTGGATGTGTTGGGAATACTAGAGGAAAATTGGACTGAACATAGGAGTATTTTTGTGTGTGTGCATGTCCACTGAGTGTGAATTGTCCCTTTTAAAAAGCTTTATCTGACATTAAATTAGTTGCTACTTTGAAAGTGAATTAGGGAATATGGCCATCTAGGCAAAACAGTCTTAAAAGGTTGGAGAACAGATTTAAAATAGATATTGTTCTAGGAACTACATAAACTGCTTAAAGTTCTACAATTCATATGCTTATAATAGTAGTAGACTGCAGTACTTCTTATAAATAGTCAGCATATTGAGAGGTTGTGAAATTTTGCATAATCCTTAACCAGTGTATAAGGGTTTGTTTTAATAGAGTGGTAACACTGCTGAGAGTCACTCTGTGAGCTCAGGTGGAAGCACTCTGCTATTCTGCTGTCTAAACGGTTTATTAGGTACATGAGGTACATGTGGAGTTGAGAACAAATTGGCCTGACTTCTCCCATTGCTAATTATCATCTCTTATTTAAATGTGTGGAAGTGCAGTTAGGAGTAAGATTAAAAACCTTAATTGGAATTTGAGCATGTGGCTAGTGAAACCCTGAGTTTAGATACAGTATGACAATGAAAAATAAACTCTTGCTTTGATTACTGTTCTGGGTGAGTGCAGAATCCTCCCCTGAATTTGAAAGCACCACTCATGCAGTCGTCCTGTTTTGAACTGTTGTTCTGTGTCATGCAGTCGTGAATGACCTGTGCTCTGCATATTTTTTCTGTAGTCGTGGTTACCATGCTTGGCTATTACTAAGGCAGTGAAGGTGCAGAAATAGTCTTCAGTTTATACTGGAATGGAAAATCTGTCTTGTGGAATGAGCTGCTGGCTCTTCCTTAGCTGAGTTGCTGCCTGTTCCTGATGTTGTCTAGAAGTTTTATAGCAGCATCACTGCAAAACTGAGATGACTTTGTTAAATTCTATGCCCCTGTTGCTTTTGTGGGGAATACTGGCTTTCAGTGGGAATTTACCCAAAAAGTAGCATTTCTTATTCCCATTTGCAGAAATGGGAGTAATACAGGTGTTTGCCTACAGAAGAAACTTGCCATACCGCATGTGGTGTAGGAGGGAGATAAACAGAGTGTGTGTCAGTTGCACAAGTAGGAAGTCTGCACAATTTTTCCATTACTAATACTGTTTCTATTGTCAAGCTACTGTCAAAGTTTCTTCTAAGATGGGGTTCAAATATAAAACAATAAGGTAAGAATGGAATTTTGTAGGTCAAGTCCAGTAGCTAAGAATTTTATGGCATGGGGAAGCTTGATATTATTCCTGATGATAAATTTGATAAATTCTGTCGGCTGTGCAGAAACATGTGTCTAGGTTATTGAAGTGAAAATGAGAGGTCAAAATTACTCTTGAGTGAGCAGGGGCTTATAAACATATAATGCATTGTTTATGCTATAAGTAAAAGTATATGCTAACAGCAATTACTTTTGTTTTAGAGGGAATCTGAATATGTCTGGCATAGCTCTTAGCAGGCTTGCACAGGAGAGAAAAGCCTGGAGAAAAGATCATCCATTTGTAAGTACCAAAGCCACCAAATCTGACTCTGCAATTGTTGCAGTGTTCTGGTGATGATTTTTTCATTACCCTGATAGGATTTTTCTTAAAGTAAAATAATTATTTTTAAATTGAAAAAAAAAGTAGTGCCAAATGAATAACTTTGTGTAAAGATAAAATATTTAATGAAGTATTTTAAGTACATCTTGTAAAATCCTCACCATATGTCTTTTTGCTTTGATTCAGGGATTTGTAGCAGTACCTACAAAAAATCCAGATGGCACAATGAATCTAATGAACTGGGAGTGTGCTATTCCAGGAAAGAAAGGGGTAAGACTTACTGTTCTCCTGATTTCTCATTTATGGTGAAAAGTAACATAAGTTGCTTATGCACTATACTGACAATTGAGAGTTTACATTACGTATAGTTTGATAAAGAAGTTTGTGTCCTGCTGCTACTTTAAAATTTAAAGTGCTGTGGACTAAGAATATTGGACAAAGTACACCATAAGCCTGTTCAACTCTTGGCACTTAGCACCTTAGAAATAAAATTTTCAGAGGAGTGTTTAAGAGTCTTGTACTGAAACTGGAGGTTGTGTTCTGCTTCTTCTTGCTTCTTCTGAAATGCTACTATTAATTACTTGGGGGTTTTAATTCTTTCTTTTGGGTCTTCAGTGTGGGACTTTTTTGCCTTGCCTTTTCTACTGCCTTTTGCCAATTTGCCTAAATACCCTAATGATCTTGTTTCTTAGATTCTCAGAAGAATCTGTGTGTAGGCAAAACCTGCAGGGTCTGTGATGCTGCCTTAGTTGAACGCTGGACATAACATTGCTGTTACCAAACTTAGTTTTGGTAGTTGTCTGTGCACAACATTAGTTCTTAAAGAAACACTGACAAATATTCTAGCTCAGTGTAAGGAAAAATTCACCCCCTTGTGTTCTGCCACAACAAGATCATTCCCCATAACAGTTGATGTACCTTATGGAGATGTCACCTTTAAATACTTATGTAACAGTTATATGGCATACAAAATCTTCATGGTATTGCTTTGAAATTTTGTAAACCACAAAATGGAGTGAACAAGGCCTTAAAGCCAGCTTCATGTGTACTAGAAAATGTGTCACTATCAGAAAAGATCAGTTAGGCTAATGTGATTCCTGCTGATTAAAAAAACTATACTTAACAAGAAGCAGTATGACTTATTTATCTCTACCAGACCAAGCAGTTGATCTCTATTATCTTTGTGTTTAGAGGCATCCTATAGTGCAGCTCCTTTCCCTGAGATTAGTAGTTGAAACCACCAAAATGTTTTCTTGTCAGCCAGATTAAATATTGAAGTGGTGTTAGTCCTGGGTGGGATTCTCCATTCACTCATTTGACAGCAAATCACTTGTTAACTACCTAAGATTTGACTCAAAAAACATCTGCAACTGGTGCCATAATGCAATGTGGTCTCACTACTGCTGTCATACTGTTGGGCTTAGTAGGGCTTCTGAGTTTCTGCTATCTTTTGCCCGTAAGGTATGTTCCTCTATCAGAAAAGTAATAAAAACTTCACCAGCTGTTCTCTTCTTCTGTGTGAATTATTAAAAGCTATTTGTCTTCCTGTGACTGAAAGCAAACAAAATCAGTAGTTTATCAAAAAGCTTGTATTTTCTACAAAGTAACTCCTCTGAGAAGGTATGGATTTTTCTAGTTGTTGACAACTGACTACAGCAATTTAGAACTAGTTCTTTTAACACACTATAGCAAATAGAATCAAACTCATTCACTTCTGGAAATGTTATCTTATTAATTCCTAGCATGTTTTTCTTCCTTTTCTAGCTTGAGACTTTGCATAATGAATACGAGTGACAATGGAATGATTTTTCTTTTTTCATATGAGTTTTCTGGGTGTTTTGTTTTGGTTTTCATTCAGCTAAAAAATCACATAGTATAATAAAAGAAATTCCTTCTAAGGTGGTCTTCAAACATATCTGTCTGTGAGGATAAGATTTGATCAGTTTTGCTTTTAAAATGCGAGACCATCTTTACTCCAGCTGTTTTAAAGAATCAACCCAACATTTACTTCCATTGCAGTGGTTCCGTAGTAAGGGCAAGTTACAGAGAAGTATCAGAGAAATAAATTTTACAGCTATAAGTATCTTTTCTGTATTTCTACACTTCTTAGCAGAACTCAGTTTATAAGAAGATGGGTTTTTTCTTTATGCGTTTTGTGTGTTTGAGACAGTCTTTTTCTCTGTTGGTAGGTAGTTTTTTCTTGTTTATATGACTCCCTTGAGTAGTGCTGTCTTATTTGGTTTGTTCTATATCATGGGAGCTGCTCCTATGTGAGCCCTTTCCAGTTTTGAATAGGGATAAAGAGCCTTTTAAAATTTCTTGTTAGACAGAAAGATGGAATCTGTGAGACTACATTCTACCAAACACAGACAGGGTTAGTTTAGACTAGTGAATCTCATTAACTGTAGTGGTAGTACGGTTCTGTCCACATTTTTACTTCATTTGTGGTTTTATTAGCCACATTTTCATAAGGCACAAGAGAAGCCATTTACATTCACATGCTTAAGGGGTCTATCTATATCCTATCTTCTCAAACTTTAGTGGGGCTACAACAGCCCCTGCCTCGTTGTACATGTATAGTGTAAAACTTCAGAAGTATTCTGTTCTTACATAGTGTGAAAATTTTACTTTTATATGGAATTACTGGTGATGACCCTGACTGTGTTATGAGTCGGCATCTCTTGCTAGCTGAAGAAAGAAACCCCTTCCTTTCCACTTCAGCTTCTTCTATAGGTAGAATAGCTTACCATAGTCTAGACAGTGTGGTACAGTGCAAGACAGCTATTTTCTCTGTGTAGCAGAAGAATGTTTTGTGCTTTGCCTGAGAAACAGTATTCTTGGTAAGCTTTTTTCCAGAATTTTGACTTTTCCTTGCTGTAACCAAAATTCTACATTAACTCTTGATAGACACCATGGGAAGGAGGCTTATTTAAACTAAGGATGCTTTTCAAGGATGACTACCCTTCTTCACCCCCAAAATGTAAGTAAAATTACCACAGGTAATTAAAAACCACAGGGTTATTAGAACAGTATTGAATTAATCCATGAGGTTCTTATAAATGGTTATTACTTTCTTACAGTTTTGTTTGATTTTTGTTTTGGTTTGGTTTTTTTTTAAGACACATTGAGTTTTATTTTTTCCTTGCCCACTTGCAGTTCATCACAGAAAGTTGTGACGAAATCAGCTAAATGCTCAATCTATCAGAACTGGGAGGGGAGGGAGATTGGTGTGTAGGTTCCCTCAAAGTCTGACAAAAGCATCACTTGAAATGCTCACTTCATTATCAGCTGTCCTTGGAAACTAATATGTAGGCACACTTAGACTAAATCCCTATATTCTTACTGTTAAGTTGGTCTTCTAAGCTGAGAACTCAGAAGACAGGAACTCGGAAAAAAGGGTTCTCTAACTTGAACCTTTTAATCAACTTGCTCTAAAATATTAATCTGTTCTTTTTCTGCTACTATGTATAACTTAGTAGATATTCAGATACCTAGTTTCCTTAAGTTTTTGAACTGAATTTTCCTTACATCATCTCAAACTTCACCTATTATAGAAACTTTAAAACATCTATTGCGTTGTATGGTTTCTTGGTTCTTGAATTGGCTACCTTCTCAAATCAATGACAGTGATTACAGTTGCTCTTTGGACAGCAATTCATCTCTCATCACATTAGCATATTTCAGCTCTATCAGCTCCTGGCTACTCCTTTTCTTTGATACCACCTAAATAAATACATGTAACAGGGGCAAACATTTCTTGTGACTGAAAACATTTCACATTATTTCCTTGAAAAATACCAGTTTTTACATCCTGACAGTGTTAAAGGAATTGTTGTGCCTTAAAAGATAGATGCATATGTGGTAAGACTCCCTACCAGTTCAGCTTCTGAAATACTACTGAACTTCATAGGGCAGCAAGACTGTTACATCTTTTGAATATTTGCGATGTCAGAGGGATGAGAAAACTGCGCTAATATGTAGATATTTCATGTATTGTAAAAGGAGTGTTCATTACTTTACTGAAGATGCTAGCTGTTGCATTTAAGTCCTGTAAAGGTTAAAAGCAATGCCAGAATATAGATTGAGTGGCAGAAGGAAAGCTGCACAAGCCTTTAGTTAGTCTTGTAATTTAAACTTGGTTCTTTTTGTTTAGTGCATCTTGATTTTTTCATATTAGGAAAATATGAAACTGAAAAAATTGCTAAGAACTTTAGCCTTCCTTGTGTGAAACTTCCATTATTTTAAAGTGAGGAGGGAAAAGGTGAGTGAGGGGTAGTATCTTTCCTTTACGTAGTAGTATGTAAAGCTGAAAAGACAGAATTGTTTTTAAAAGGTCTTTATCACAAAGCTATTAGGAATTACTTAGTCCGTTTCCATTCCTAAACCAAAAGATTACCAGTCAAAAAGACAACGTTGTTGTGCCTGGATTGATATCACAGATGTGATGGAGTTTCTGTTTTGCGTGTGGGCTGAGTCAAGAAGAAAAGTGGTATTAATAGCTCCAGAAACTAGTGGGGTTTTATCTGGGGGTCTTTTGCTAGTGTTGGTTTGGGGATTTTTGGGTTTTGTTTTCCCCCAACTGATCTAACCCAATTCTCTGATCTTCCTCTTAGCACTGTATGAATGTAATTTCCTCTTCTTTATCAGGTAAATTTGAACCACCGTTATTCCACCCAAATGTGTATCCTTCAGGCACCGTGTGTCTCTCCATCTTAGAGGAGGATAAGGACTGGCGGCCAGCAATCACAATTAAACAGGTCAGTAATTGTACTTAGACATAGTCTTAATACTTTTGCTTTGCTTGCTTATCTGATGCAAATATACGATGTTCACTCTGTGTACCTAAATTGGTTTCTAAGGTTTTTCACTGAATCTCTATTAGTAATACCCATAATATATGCCTCTTAATCTATTCCTTTTTCCATAGATCTTGTTAGGCATACAAGAACTTCTAAATGAACCAAATATTCAAGACCCAGCTCAAGCAGAGGCTTACACAATTTACTGGTAAGTGTCTTTGCATATGAGCCTGAAAGCTGTCATATTGCCTACAGGTGTCTGTTACTTGTAGTATAACAGGCAAATGTTTTTACAAATGACATGGAGAATTCTCTTGCCTTCATTACTGTATTCTGTGGAGATGCCTAGGTTGTGCTAAATTTGAACAAAATGGTAGCTTCATGGCTGTTAGGCTAGTGGAGCTTTTAATAACAAAGCAAGAGCAATAAGGTGTGAAGACTCCTTATGTCATGATTTTCATCCTGGTTGTAGCCTAACACAGAGTCCTTTTCCTTAAAGGCCAGTAGTAACAATGTGGTGTAATGGGAGAAGAGAGAGCAGGAGAGGAGAATTAGATGACAAGTCACATTTGTCACTACAGGAGTAACTTACTTCTGCCCAGTAGTGCATACCTGGAAGAACTTGTGCCTGAAGGACAGAGGAGAGCTGTGGTCACTGTAGGAAACATGGCATTTTGGGAAAACTACATCTTCCAAAAGAGTAGGTTGAAATTAGCAGAGTGAAGTTTGCATTGATAGGAAAGGGGATAATTTGTGAGCTGAAGAGACGTTTTGGGTTTGTTTGCGTTGTGGGTTTTTTTTGTGGTTTTTTTTTTTTTTTAGGCTTAGTCTTAAAGGTTTTCCCACCATTAAAAATGGATATCTGTTCTACAATCTTTAGGGAAGCAAAACGTTTTAAACAAATGCTTTTGGTAGTGGTACCTAATGAAATAGTAACCAAGATGGAATTGTGGAATTACAGTTCTGGACAGAAGAGGCCTCCAGGAGAGTGCCAGACTTGAAAAATAACATTTTATGTGAGTGCACTTGCAAGCTATGTTAAGTATGGTTTGTTATAGGGCCCCAGTGAAAAGGAAACATAGGGATGGGTAGTGTTTTTTGCATTTAATTAATAGTTTCACTCAGTGTTACTTTTTAAAGTACTTACTGAAGGCTTGATGGAGTTTAGTGCATATGGAAGACGGTTAGGTGGCCACAGTTGTAGGAGCCAGGAATGATGAAGAAGACCTCATAATATACTTCTGTACATGTATAGATAGTGTTTTATTCTTCTTAATCACCTCCCACATCCATATATGTACAAGACCAGTCTTAGCTAGTCTTGTTTCTGTTTAAAGTGCTTCCAGGGGGAAAAATGTTTAATTTAAAATATTACAGGATTTTTGTTATTTCAAGTATGTATAGTCTCCCATTTATGCTTTTCATGTCTCTTGGACATGCAGAGTATTTCAGATGGGTTACTATTCTGCAGTCTGAGTGTGCACCATTGTTTACATAGATGTCTTTTAGTCAAGCTGTTAAACTTTCAAGAATTAACATTCAGAATAAGAATACATATTCTCAAGATTCCTTTGGTACTGTCGTTCAGTAACTTTAGCACTCCTAAGGTGCTAGCCTACTTCCTCCTCTTTGCTGCAGGCATTCAGGGTCTGTGTGGATTCTGTAAGTGCCAGACTTAAAAGCTAGGCTATGTTCTTATGTGGCAGTGCAATATAACTTAGAGGAAAAAATGTAGACTAAAGTTTGTAAATCTCTTCATGAGAAGAGAATATCTTCAGTCTCTTTGGTCAAAATTGGTTTCATTTCTTCTTTCTGCTGCTTCATTTCTTCTTCTTGCTGCCTTTTTTTTCACTGCAGGAAGCCTTCATAGCTGAAAGTGAGTTAAATTTACTGCAAAGCTGTCTGCAAAATCTAGTCACTCTAAACTATTTCTGGCAGAAGAGTAATGGTTACAAATTTTTCTTTAGCTCAGCTCACACTTCTGACAGCTAATACAGAATGGACAACTGAATGTAAATGAATGCTTTACTATAAATGAATATTGCTGCTACTATCCATTGCTGGCACAAGAACAGAAAACAAAGAACTTGCCTTTTTACATCTTGAGTATGAGGCTTAGTGACTGGACATAATTCAGTCCAGTAATTCACTTAGCTGTGTTGAGCTAGCTTTTTTTCCCCAGCTGAAGATTAGGATAAACCTAAATCTGTGAGTCGGGGTCTGTAGAGATAAAGGCTGAAATTACCACACAATTAGAATTTTCCTGTTTCTTAGGATTGTTTCCATTCTCTCTCCAAAGCAGTCAAGATGATAATTTAAAACCATATGAAGTCCGCCAGCTGTTAGTGAGCTGCTCTCCTCAATTTGTACTGTTAAGGTACTGGAATTTGTTATGAATGACCTCGGGTCTTAATGTGAGTGGGGAGTAGAAAACTTAAGATGAATCAGGGAATGTTTGCACATGAGGTATAGTTGGTCTTGAGAAGAGCAGGTGCAAACCTGTTCAAATAGACTGGTACAGTACAAAGTCAGTGCAATCATTTGACAACAGGTGATGGAAGTAACTAGTTGAACAGTACCATACTTGTCCAGAAAATCTGAAATTTATTGTAGTGTTCCGTGAATGGCTATCAAAAGGGTTTGCCTTCAGCAATGACTTCTGTTTCTCTTCATTATGAAACTAACTCTGTAATATAGCCTCTGATTTCTCCAGCTATAATTACCCTTTCTCTTTTCAGCCAAAACAGAGTGGAATATGAAAAGAGGGTTCGAGCACAAGCCAAGAAGTTTGCACCATCATAAGCATTTGTCACACAGCATCTTAAAAAGGAAGGGATTGGTTTGGCAAGAACTTGTTTACAAAACTTTTGCAAAATGTAATGTTGCTATGTACAATTAATATCCACATAAGGGGAGGGGGTTGTATGTGTGCCATTTTCCATATTCGCCAGTTGTATACAGTTCTAAATTTGCTGAATTACCCCCAGTTTTTTCATACAGGGTCTCTTCCTTCAGTCTTTTGTATTTTTGATTGTTATGTAAAACTTGCTTTTATTTTAATATTGATGTCAGTATTTCAACTGCTGTAAAATTATAAACTTTTATACTTCTATAAATTCACTAGTATCTCTAGTTACTTTGCTATCTGATGCAGGCATGCTTTAAAATGTTAGAACTATATTTAGCCTCTAGCTGGCTGTATGAAAAAAAATCATGCCCTCCACCCCCTTCCCTCCCTGAATTTGTTTTTTCTATCTTTCAGAAACTAGGTTGTTATTGCTTAAGAGCCTCTGAGATCCAAAGTTAGCCAGCATCCTTATTCTGCATCACTTTCTTTGTGTTTATATGACATTCTGTCTGTGTTGCTGTTTAGAGTAAATAAACTGTTTATATAAAGGGCTTTGTTTCATTTATCTTCATTAAAATTATTAAAAGGCTGCCATTTAAACAGCTCTGAACACAATTCAGTCCAAGTTCTGTTTTTAAGGCATGTGATGCTGCGTTTGCCTTTGGTTTAGATGTTGCCTTCATTTGTTTTGCCTGTCCCTGACCCGGAGCACGCATGCAGCCCGTCCTCAGACCATGTGTGGTAAGTGCAGCAAGTCAATTCTGATGAGTTCTTCAAGCAGAGATCAACTGCTTACTGTGTATAATGGGATCAGCATACTGGTGTGACTATGTTAATATAAAATTGTGAGCTTTAGACTGATAGAAGTTGTCCAAGTAATGCTGAGGATTTTTAATGGAGCCTATTTATCAGAAACAATTTCTTGCCTCTTTCCATATATTAATGCATACAGCTTCTAAGGGAAAGCATGTGCTCTGTGCAATTACAGTTTCCTTCTCTAAAGGAAATCTGTTAAATTATGTAAGTTGTTGTCATGTATGTCAAGCTGATACACCCTCCATTAAACTTTCACTGCTTTTTAAATTGTATTTTTAAGTCAAAATCATTCTGCAAAACAAAAAAAAAGTGGAAAGCTTTGTTCCATCCGAGCTTAGCTTCTTCAGTGAGTTTATGAAAAAGAAGGCCTACAGCTCAGCACTTAATTACACAGCTCTGTTCCCAGATGTGTTTTGCTTGACTGCATTTGAGCACTACAGCTTTATAATATAAAAGCATTCCCCCAAATTAGAATAGCTGACATGTTGTCCTAGTTTAAGGCAAATCTGGGAGAAAAACCTCTGGAAGGAGCCCCTAGAAAACAAACCCCCACTGCCCCTCCCCACCCATCTGGTTCAGGAAGAATTTTCTTGGAGAGAAGTGGAACAGAATCTGTTTATTTAACAAACAAAACATGCCCCAGCACCAAAAAAATTTAACAACACCAGATGAAAACAAAACTCTTTCACCACTCTGAAGAGATGACAAATCCAGAAAGTCTCACTTGGGAATGATTGCCCGGGTCTGGGCGCTGGGGATTGCTCTCCTGCACTGGGGATGGCTGCTGCAGATCACAAAGCGCAGGCTCTCGGTGTTCCTCAGTGTTTCCCAGGTCCCAGTCCGGAGCAGGTTGGAATGACATGCAGGAAAGGGAAAGTTAAAAAAACAGTCCAGGGCAGAAATTGGACTGCTTATCTAAACTAACTAACAAGCAAAGGCAAAAGCAGAAGCAAGCAAGCAAAAGCCAGCAAGCAAAAGCAAAAGCAAGCCAGTCAGCACTAGCCTCTTCTAGACAACAGACCATGGTGGGAGGTGAACCAGCTGATAACAAGACAAAACAAACCTTCACTTTCAGAGTCAGTTCTGAAAGCACAGAACATAATATCAAACATAAACAGAACACAGGACTGATAATGTCACCCCATGACACATGTTCACACGGTTTTTAGGCTTTTAAAAGTTACGTTGAATTGCTTTCTTATCACTGTGTAAGAAATCCTTGCTAAAGCAGCACATTTGAGACAGATTTCATATGGGTGGGGAGGTTATTGAAAAAACCAAATCAAAGGGAAAGTCTCCTTGTAGAATTAATTCACTTGTGCTTCTTGTTTTTAAGAGGGAAATTGAGTATTGGTACCACCCAAACTGCTGCTGTTACTCCCGGCTCTAGCTCCAGTAGCAGTAGTATTTAATCCCTCTACGTAGTAGAGGGACAAGAGGAGAGAGTCCTGTGATGTGAAGAACTTTGGTTTGTTAAGGTAAGTCTACAAATTGTCCTTAGTATTGCCAATACTACTGAAGGATCACTAAAGTTTAGGTTTCGGTTGGATGCTTGAAACTCCAAAGAGTATTGTATGTAAATGTATAGAAAACAACTGGTAATAGTTCATTTTCACTATACAAACAGACAGGCGTAGGGAAAAGTCACCTAAGTTACTAGTGCTGGTGTGAGTGTCACAAAGCTTTAAGGACCAGACAATGTGTATTTCTTACTTGGTACAGTGCCACTTTGAGTGACGAAAATACACAGAGATAGCACTGATGAACCTGTGATGTGAAATTTCACAGTACAGTTCTGAATATGAAGTGCCAAAAACGCTGTGTTGTTGCTTAGGACTTTATCTGGGTAAATAAAATAAGCAATTAAAGTAACCGAAAAAACATACTGAAATGTTAAAGCAATTCCGAGAAGCATTTTTTCCTTTCAGGCTTAGCTCAGTTTATTCTAAATAGATGCAGTAGTTGAAACACATATGGCAGGTTCAAGACTGCAAAAAGTCAGAGATTCCCTATGTGGTAGGTACCATGAACAGGGCAATGGTTTAGTCATGTTCTCCTGCTGAAATATAGACCAGAAGTTAAGAAAGTTTACCTAATATACTATTAGTTAAAAATAATCCCCTATAAACCACTTTCCAGACACATTGTTTGGAATACTGGGTTATTTTTTAACTTGTAACTAAGCTTCAAACTCCTTTCAAAATAATGTTGCATACTTACCTAAAAATTAAATAACCTAGAGCCCTCGTGCATAAAATACCTACAAACCTGCACAGAGATGGAGGTTTGCTAAGCACCAAGTTACAGGTGAACAAGACACACTCAAGTATTCACAAGAAAACTTCTTTATACAAGGTGTTACAAATCTTTGGGATAGTTGGGGATTTTTATTTCTTCTGGACTGCTCTCATCATTGCTTTCACTGCTTTCAGTGGCGTCATCTGGACTACTCACGCTGTCCTCCTCAGAGTCTTCCTTCCTTTGTGCTAGACTGGAAACATTTTTCAACATTATAAAAGCAAAATAACTTCTAGTAAGTAAAACTATTATTTAAATTTAAATTAAATTCCATTACCGTGAAGAATTGACTGGCCTGTTGGGATTGGAAAATTCTTTTTCTAAGTCAACATCAAATGGATCTGGAAAAAGAAGGAAAAACTGCAGAAGATGAAAAAAGCATTTTCATAATGGTCTTCATTTTCATAGATTATTGGCAGGGAGGGAAAGGCACAGAAAGGCTAGTTCACATCTCTTAGAAGTTTACCAAAGTTGTTTGAGGAGAAACTGGGGGAGATGAGAAAATAAGTCCTGCCTGCCCAGTCTAGGCTTTTCACTCTTCCCTCACCCCCTGCAAGGGGGTTCTGTAGCTCTTTAGAGGTGGTCAGATTGTATAAGTAGGTTTCTAAGGCTTTGGGTAAGAAAACATGGATTAAGTTCTAAAACAGCTATCTAGTTAGCTGATGTCCACTGAGAAGTGAATTACAGCTGTCCAGGTTTAGCTCTTGCTGAGTAAGGGTAGGGCTGGGCTTACTTTGGCTGAAGTAGCTGGGAAGAACTATCAGAACTATCAGAAAAGTCAAACAAATCTTGGTTCTGCAGTTCAACCAGAAAATACATAGGATTGTAGGTGGAAGTGTGCTTTAAGTGGCATAGCTGTGTTGCCTCTTAAGAGCTGTCTTCAGTTTAATCTAAGTAGTTAGGCTTCCACCAAGAGGATGGTTTAATTCAGTATCATGGCAAAGAGATAAAAGTTTAGAGCAAGTGAAGGCTATTGACCATCTTCTTACAGTATGAGCACCTGGCCTGTTTTAAGGGCTTAATCATCATGAAAGGAAAATGTTAATTAGGATAATCCCTTTTCATATGTTCTTGATTATTTGCCTTTCTTTGTGCTGTCTTGAATGAGACCAAGCACTCACTGGCGAATACAGCCTGAAATACTGGGATTGCAATAAAATACTGGAAGACTTTGGGAATAACTACTTGTACTTATTATAAATTATTTTAATTATCTTTATAGGTCTGATTTTAAAAATCTTGATTGAGGATTATATAAATATGTCTATTAAAGGTCCTTCTTAGATTTTTATGTGTAACTAACCTACTGTCTGACTGTATGCCTGTATTTCTCTCATAGTTCCTTCTCAGTTACTAGTCTTTCTACTCATACTCTGCTTTTAACATCTGTATAGAAAACAAGGAAGTATCATATTTTCTTATTGCTCCCAAGTTTTTCCATTTGGTTAGCTGAAAAAGGGTAACTGCTTTACAATTCAGCTGTGAATACTCTATGCATTAAATTGCTTTAGTTATTTTCACCCTATTTGAGTTGAAAAAATGGGCTAACAGGTACACTTAGCATAGTATAAAGACAAAACACGTATCAGCAAAGCACTTACTTTCCACCTTGCTAATATTTTTATGAGATTTAAGGCAAAGACTGTGAAGAAACTAGTTACAAAAAGGGCATGTGTAGTGTTTCTCTGTTGTTCTCTTACCTACTTCTTCATCTTTTTTTTCTTGGACACCAGCTAAAAAGTCCTTCTCAATGATTAACATGTCGTCCTGACAATGACAGGCTGCATATTTTTCCAAGAGATTTTTGTTCAGGTCAATAAATGCCTTACCCCATTTAAATTTCCTTAGAAGAATGGTGGCTAGATCTGGGAATCCTGAAACAGAAAATATATTATCAGTTTTCTTCTTTACTCTGAGATTTCACTCGGCTTACATGTTTCTAGTTCAGTATGTGCATTTATGTCAATACAAGAGAAAAATGTTTTGCCAGTGCTTCTTTCAGTGTTCAAGGATTAAACTTTTGGAAAGACTACAAATATTTTCAAATTTCAGTTTAACTTGAAATGGAATTGAATCCAAGAACTGAATCCAAGAGTAGTTCATAGCCTTCCAGAAAGTGCTACATAAAAGTATTTTGTACAGGTAATGAATGATTCAAGCTCTAGGTCCCACAGCCCTTCAGTACAAGGCCAGTTGTACATACAGTATTTTCAGAAGATAAGATTTGTCTGCAGTATGGTAGAGTATTTCTCTTATCAAAGTTCTGTGATGAGAACAACACATCACAAGAGGGGGCAATTTCTTTTGTTCTTACCCAGACCTCGACCTATCAACAGCCAGCTGCTACCTCTCATTAAGGCAAACTTGCCTAGGGATTAATGTTCTGTCTTTTTTTTTTAACAGGTTTTCTAACGTTACACACCATCCAGACAAAATGAGGATTATCAGTTTGTGTCCTGTCTAGTAGCTGACATGAATACTCCACGGATACCTCAGTGTGACAGGTAACATGCACTTGGAAGAAGGCTAGACAATCTGATCCCAAAGTCAAGAAAGTGATGACCCGTTATTGACAGCATTACAGTTTATTTTGTGAGAAACCATCTCTTCTGATTTATTAAGGATGTAGCAATTGCTAGCACCATATTCCACATCAGAAAAAATGAGCCTACCAACAATGCAAAACGCTGCAGCAAAAGCTTCCACGCAGGACAGCTTGCACGGCCGACCGTAGTTTACAGGATTTGCAGCCACCAAGTAAGGCAGCAACCGCAGATGACTCCCCCTCATTCTCTTAAAGGGAGTTTCTTCTAATTTGGCCCATGAGCAATCTATGACTGCAATTCCACTCTGAGCAATGACATGCCTGAAAAAAAGGAAGGCCACTGTATTTGAAAAATTGTCACCATTATACTGATAAAGTGCGAATTCCAATTGCTGCTTTATATTGGCAACAAACTTGCATATATCCCCTGCTTTTGTCAATCAAAACCCATATAATTTCCAATAACCTATAAGAGACACAATGAGAAGGAACAGTAGCATGGTTTTCCTCCAAACATGCAAATAGCAAAAACAGGTTTACCCATGTGTTTCAAAATGAAATGTGAATAATTCTAGGTTTAAAAATGTGACAGAAGTGTGGTTAATAGTAATGTTCACACCTTCAACTACACCGAAGTTCTGATTTAGGTTCTCTGCTAGGTTCTCTCTGCTTCTAGAGACAAATCTTTTCTCTGAGTAAGTATATAAAATTTTATAGAATTTCTGGAGGCACATTTGAAGAAAATTCTCATTTTCCGCAAAAAGTTTTCTAGTTAACACCAACTTCGGTTGTCTAATCGAAGAACTTAAATATAAAAATCACAGTAGCTTTAAGGCCGTGCTCTGAAGAAATTAACCTACAGGACGTGCACTTTGATTTTTCATTGGGATCTACAGATGCTTTTCTTATCTGACACTAGCTGTGTAAAAATGTTAAGCTGACTTGATAAAACGACTCTGTTTCTCATGTTCATGCATCAGTGTAACGCAATAAGAAGGTCAATTTTACTCCATATAAGTTTCAGCCATGTATCAGTGGTTAAAATGCTTTCTCTACTACAGCATCAGGACGGTATTTGAACCAAGGGCTCTCCCTCACAGTCTGCACCTCCCCCACTTCCCTCGCCGCCCGAGTTTTGCGAACAGGCACCAAGCCCCCACCTGTCAGCCGGAGAGATGTACTCCGAGGCCAGTGGACTCAGGACGACGCCCGGGAATCTCTGCCGGAGGCGCAGGGTTCGCAGCAACCCCTTCCGGGCTAGTTTTCTCCCGGTGCATTTCTTGGGATCGCAGTGTCCGAGCTCCCACATGGCAAGGGGGCAGGGGAACTTGTCCTCCCGAGCGCCTCTATCCGCGGCCCTCTCGCCGTCCAGGCAAGCTGAAATAGGCAGGTGTGCACCAGTGCCCAGCGGAGACGCGGCACAGCTCGGCAGGACCCACCTTCCCTTGCCCGCTTCCCGCGGCGTCTCACGCACCTGTCAGCGCGGCCTCCGCTTCCGCCGCGAAAGTCTCGAGGCTCCGAGTCCCGCGCCGGCCCCCGCGCCGGCCTCCGCGCCGGCCGTGCTCCATGGCTGCGCTCGGCGGAGACACCGCCCCGCGGCGCCGCGCGCTTCCGCTTCCCGCGGAGCCGGCCATGGCGGTTCGGGCGCTGCTTGTGGCGCTGAGCGCGGCGCTGGGTGCGTGCGGGGGCCGCGGCGAGGGCGGGCGCGCCGGCCGCTTGGTCCGTCCGCCGCGCCCAACTGCTCTCTCCTAGCAGGTCTCTTCGCCTCGGCGGGGAAAATGAAGATCGTGGAGGAGCCGAATACGTTCGGGTACGTGGCCGACTGCTCACCGTGCCGTCCCGCGATTCATCTGCACTCAGCGGGTTCGGGTCTGTCTGCCGTTGTGCCTACTCCAGCCCTTTTCTTCCAACGAGGGTGGGGCGCCGGGCCGGGCCGCTGCCGCAGACCCCGCTGTTGGCCCGCGGGCAGCGGCCGTCAGTGTTGAGACGCACAGGTAGGGGAGGATGTATAGACGCCCAGATGCATAACTCAGCCTTAAACGTTTAACTTTCCTTCTTTTGAAAGGTTGAATAACCCATTCTTGCCTCAAACAAATAGGCTGCAGCCAAAGATGTCTCCTTCTGCAGTATCAGGTATATGCAACCGTTACCTTTTTTTTTTTTTTTAGTACAGTTTTCATCACTTAGTAACAGTTGTTTGCAGTGCAAATAGTCTGTTTGGCCTTTATGCATACAAAACCGAATTTTGTGTGTGGTTTTATAAGCATCGTGGAAAATAAGCACGGGCAAATATATTTCATTGTACTCCTGAAGGATTAAAACCTATATTAACTTCACTGGTGGTTCCAGGTCCAGGTGCTGTTAATACAGTTTTTGTGATGGGACTATCCATACATTTTATTGTGTGTTTTTCTAGCCTGTAACAGAGCCTTTTGACCCACAGTAAACACTCTGTTTTTCTTGTCACAATCCTCAGCGTCATTATCATATAAGTCATCCCATCATCAGGTAGTACTTAGTACCCAAAAACAGTTTTAAAAAAAAGCCCTACAAGTAGTCTTGGAACCAGTCGGAGGGGCTTAGTTTCACACACAGCCTTGGTGTTGCAACATAAATACACCCCTTAAGCAAAATGAACAGGAATATACAAAATTCTAGGCCATCTCTAGAGGAGAGCAGATAAACACTGAAGGCAAAGACTAAGCAAAAGGGAGTAACGCTTGTCTCTCTGCTAACCATAGGCAGAAACTTAAACCTTGTTCAGATTCAAGAAAGGCATTTTGGTATGACAACATTGAATGTGATTATGCTTAATGTTTTCTGTCACGTTTTATAAACTCAAGTGTATAATTCTGCATATACTGTATGTGAAATGTGAAATAGTTAGAAATGGGATTCATAACAGATTAGAATCCAGGATGGGATTTTACTTTATTTGCTTTGTAATCTCTTTCCTTCTTTCCTCATAAATGCTTAGTAATTCAAAGGTAAATTTCCTTATAAAAGAGATACTGAAATACTCCTCTAGCATGTAGTTCAGAACTTTCACCCTCTTTTTAATGACAAGTTACCTGTCTTGGATTTCTTTGATAGCAAGCCTTGTAGTCAACACTAAAAGAATATAACAACTGCTGACCTGTCTGACAGCAGAAGTTTTATCTTGTTAAATACTGCCTGGATCAGACCACGAAGGCAAATGGCAAAAAACAATATCCAGTTTGAGAATCTCAGTGAAACTTAAATATGCAGCACTGTCAACATTTTGAACAAACGAGCTTTACTAGTATAAACTTGCAGAGTTTGGATGAATTTGGAGACAGACAGCTGCCAAGCAAGAGTTTCAGTGATTCCAGTGTTAGATTTTGGCAGGATCTGCACTGATGATTCCTTTTATAGACCTGACCTCCAAATGTTTATTTTTACACAGGTTTCTCGTTTTTGTTGTCAAATCAGACTTATCTATTTCACTGGGTAGTGAGAATGAAAAACGTTAAAGATCGTGACACAATCCAGTACTAGTGCTAGTGGGAACTAACAGTAATTCATATGGAAGATAAAAATTTCCTATGTACAGCAGAAAATGTAATTTATCACATACTCCTTGCACTTTTGTTACCACAGTAGCTTGCTTAAATTTAACCAAAACATTATTTTTCTTTTTTGTCATGTTGTAATGTTTTTAGGCCCTGCACATCTCTTTAGGCTTGCTGGCAAGTGTTTCAGTTTTGTGGAATCCACGTGAGTAATGGATTTGGATAATTGCTTATATACTTACTAGGAATTAACTATTTTTTTATTCCAGTCTGAAACATTTCTTATTCTCTGTTTCTTTTCTCTTCTTTTAAGGTACAAGTATGAGTTTTGTCCTTTCCATAATGTCACTCAGCATGAGCAGACTTTTCGATGGAATGCCTATAGTGGGATTTTAGGGTGAGATATTTAGACCATTTTATGTTGTAGCTATGTTGTCAGCAGGCCATTTCATAGATTTTAAAAATGAGGCAGTTTTAAAATTAAGAATCTTCCTTTGGTCAGCTTAGGTTATGGTAGCTCCTAAGGTGTTATACATAAAAATACCCTGTCTTGAAAATTCAGACTTTTTTTCTTTTTTTTTTCTTTTTTTTTTTTTTTTTTTTTTTTGTTGATAAATACTAACCTCCTATTTTAGCTGGAGCATGATTAATAACTCCTGCCAACTGCAAATGTGATATGTTCATGTGAGAAATTCAATAATGTCTAACTACAGATATTAACATAGATTTCATGGCCATTTACTATTTGCTATATTACAAAAGGAAAAGAGTGCTTTACGCCTAATGGTTGTTAAACAATATAAAAAGTTATAAAACGCTCAGTGTAGACCCAAAAAAAAGTATCCCAAAGTATTTAAAGACCCTGAATCTTAATACCACCAAATCATAATACCTAAAATAAATCTAAGTATAAACCAGACCATTGCTTTTCTACATATTTTGTATATAGATACTCTTTTTTTTAGTATGTACAAAACAGTAAGCTGGTATGTGAGGAAACTGGTACATCACCATGCTGAGGGTATCGTTTTCCTTACGACTAGCAAAAACTACACCTAGTTTTTGTAGGTGCTCTTACCAGCACTAAAAATCCTGCAATCAAACTGAGTTGCACAGGGTACTCAGTAGCCTGATGGAATTTGTTGTGGGATTGATCTATAAACTTTATTTTACTGGACTTAAACACAGATTTCTACCTGCAAATGGTTTGCAAACTGAAATTTGATCCAAAACTCTGCTCTCAAAAAGTGCTGTTGATGTGTCCTATATAGCAACCTGGATAACAAACTACACCACTGCTTCCAAGGTGTTGGCTGTAGGAGATGGAAATACTGAGACAACAAAAGTGAAGTATATACACTTGAATTGAACATGGTATAAGGGTATTTTGGTTTTCTTCCTGAGGGTTCATCATTTGTGTTCAGTAACTTAAAACAAAATAGTGTCCTCTTTTTTCAGAATCTGGCATGAATGGGAAATTGACAACAACACATTTGTTGGAATGTGGATGAGGGAAGGAGACTCCTGTGAAACTAAGAGCAGACAGACAAAGGTATAATAACTTAGACAATGCTAATTCAGGCACCATGACTCTACTTACTTGATAAAATAAATGGATGATGTGCTTGCTATGATGCTTTTTCTGTCAGAAAAAAATAAAAAAAGGCACTTGAAGCTTTGACATGACTGTATGTACAGAAATGCATCTACTGGCATTGGAGCACAGCAAATAGATCATCAGTGTTAGTATTGTTTCATGTAGATGTT